ATATATATATATAAAGGATGGCCAATATGATAAGGGTGCGGTTTGTATAAAGTCGAGGCTCTAAACAATCAAAGTAGAGCCCACCTAAAAGTAGTGTCGAGAAAAGTGGTTTCAATATAGGAAATCTTTGTGATAGCCTTAAAATATATTTTTATATCTAATTATGAAATTTAAAGCTTCAAAAACAGAGTACGTCAAGCCGATCTATGAAAATCTTGTAAATTGATAGTTCAAAAATGCATCACAAGACAACTATTTCCAAAATTTAAAACCTATTTTTTATGTCCATGCATCTTATGTCCAGATGATCATTTTGAGGATATTTAAGTATCAAAATAACATTTTTTAAGAGATGACCAATTTGAAGATATTTAAGCATCAAAACAACTTTTTATTAATGAAATTCTTGAGACGGTCACTAATTTGATTGTTTAGAGTCCGGTCTCTGCTCTATATAAACTTTTTTGAAGGTACAATTTGTATAGAGATGTGGCTCTAGACAATCAAAGTAGAACCCACATTCAAATAGTATCGAGAAATGTTGTTTTAATAATGAAAATGTTGATTTTCCTTTCATTTTCTAGTTGGCATACTTTTCTCCGGGCATCAAGGAATAAGTGAAGTAATAAAACGACCCCAAAATTTAGAGAGAGAGAGAGAGAGATCCGAATATACCTTCTCTCTCTACTTTCTTAATTGAAGAATACGGTCCACCTGCTTTTCTGTCGAAACTCTTTTTAAGTCCCATGTATCCTTAGGCATTTAGACGGGTAGGTAATGGCTTCTTGATTTCTTGTTCGCGCCACTGGAAAATTAACCTAAAAACTATTTTTCTCTCTCTTATGCATACCCCATCAAGAAAAGCTTTCGGTCATGGACGAAGACCGGCAAACTCAAGTGCTCAATGCCCTGAAAGAAGCCTCACACGCTGTGCAAAAAAACCCCTTCTGTGATAAAGATTCCGCCATTAAAGCTCTCCTTCAGTTGCAGAATGAGGACATCGCCTCCATGTTCAAGGACCACAAGCTACTTTCCCTAACCGACCATCTCTGCAACCTCAAATCTCTGGTCCACGAGCTCCGAGAGTCGAGAGGGCTGCGCTCTTACCTAAAATATAGAGAAATCTCGCGCTTGGCTGCTTCGATCGAGTTGGTGATACAAGCCTGGATTGATCGAAAAAACCTAGATAAGCTCACTAAAACTCTGCAACTTCAAACCCTGTATCAGCAGATCAAGCTCCTAGAGGCCTTTGAATCTAGGCTTTCTCAGGGGTTCGATGGAGAGCTACAGGACTCGATTCTGAGATCAGGTGTCTTTAGGGTTCTGGAATCGCTGCTCTGCAACCCAAAGCTCGATATTAGGGTGAGGGATCAGGCCGCCTCTGCCATGGCTGCTCTGGTTCAATTCAATAAGGACGTTTTTGTGGGAGAAGTTATGGCAGGCGGCTACGTTGTCCAGGCTCTTGTTTCCATGACTTCTGTCAAGGCAATTAAAGTTCTTTCCAGCTTGATAATGGCGATCAAGAGTCCATTCGTCGACGAGATACATTACCAGGGTGGAATACAGAGGATACTAGGATTTCTTGGTGATCCGAACAAAGAAATTAGGGTTTCGGCGATGGAGTGTGCGATGGAAATCGCCTACTATGGGCGAAAAGAAGCCATCGAAGCCTTGTTAAAGGGAGGAGTGGTGAAGCGATTAGTGGAGTTGCAAAAATCAGCAGATGATGAAGAATTGAAGGCAATGGAAATGGAGTTTGCGAAGAGAGAGAAAGCGTTTAGGGGCTGTGTAGCGAGGTTTGCTATACAAATGGAGGTGGGTCAAGGGTTGAGGCAGAGAGAGAGGAGGAGTCTTAAGGGGGAGATGTTAGAGAGAGTGAGAGAAGTTGTGGAATCCGAGGCAGAGGCGGCCACCATTGTCGCAGAGATCTTGTGGGGCTCTACGCCTTAAGAAATCCCACTGTAAAAAAAAAAAATTTATGAAACATAAAGATCGGTAAAGGTCTTGGGTAGACAGAGAATGGGGATTGGCTCCTTGCCGTCGATTTGGCTAGGGGTTGTGTATACAAGGTGAGGGAGAGAATTCATCTTGTGTATATAAACTTGTATATATATATATATATATATATATATATATATATGGAAAAGGGTTATATAAGGATGCAACCATGTAGAAAAAATCCATAGGAAAAAGTAGTTTTAATGTTGAAAAGCCCTTTGATTGATCATCTTGACATCGAGATGTATGTCCATGAAAAATACGAAGATTTTAAGTCTAAAAAATAGTACATTTACAACATATTATCTACATTATCCATTTTCAAGATTTTCATATGTTTATAGATCTATTTGATTTTAACCATTCTTTGAAACGAGGTGGTTTCCATAAGGTTGCAACCTTAAACAATCCAACTAAGGTGCACCTTCAAATTTTATCATAATATATAATTTTGATAAAAAATGTCATTATGATTATCTCCAAATCTATTTTTATATCTAATTATAAAATTTTAAATTTCAAAAATGGTTAAAATTTAGTAGATCTATAAATGTATGAAAATGGACGGTGTAGATAATATATTGTAAGATGCACTATTTTTTATATTCAAAATATTTTTATTTTTCATAATCATACATCTCGATGTCGAGATAATCAAACACAGGGTTTTACAACATTAAAACAAGCCTTTTCGATGGATTTTTTAGATGCATCTATAGTTATACATTTCAAGGTTGCAACCTTATATAAACTTTTTCCTTTTTGAAATGTAAAATTTTATAAGTAGATATAGGGAAAAGTTTATATAAGGTTGCAACCTTAAAATGTAGAACTTCAAAAATCTATCGGAAATGTTGTTTTAATATTGAAAAAACCCTCTAATCAATCTTCTCGACATTCAGATGTATGAATATGCAAAAAAAAAAAACAAAAACGTTTATGAGTCTCGGATATAATGAATTTTGCAACACATTATCTAGACCGTTCATTTTCAAGATTTTCATATATTTATAGATCTACTTGATTTTAACCATTTTTGGAATTTAAAATTTTTTAATTAAGTATGAAAATAGTTTTTAAGATAATACTAAGAATTTTTTATAACAAAATTACATGTTATGATAAAATTTTAAGATGCGCCTTAATTGGATTGTTTAAGGTTGCAACCTTATAGAAACCGCACTCTTAGATATAAAAATAGGTTTTGAGATGATCTTAAGAACATTTTACATCAAAATTATATACCATGATAAATTTTGAAGGTGCACTTTGAAAAAAGTGGATATAAAGACTAGAGCAAATTTCCAAGCTAAAAAACAAGGCAAAATGGACACCTTCAACAAGCTACTTGCTAAAAACCAAGATATATGAATAAGTTACAATCCTTTTACAACCATTCTAGCCTTGCATAATCACTGTAAATAAACTCAAATACCAACCCCATATGGGGCAATTATATATAAAGCAAGACTAGCTTATGAATTACGCTTTCATAGCACAAATTATATAAACTATGTCCCAAAGCTTAAATACATCATGCAACTAATCTAAACGTTTTAAAGAATAAAATCAACTAAACAGGGAATTAGAATGCCAAATTAAAATAGGGAAATCATGTTTCGATCCCTTTGTACCGGGGCCATGCAATCAGGCCCTATAAGGACTTAATTTTGTCCCTTCGGATTGTAAAAAAGTGGTTCACTCACAAGAGTGTCTAATCCAAATGGGAAGAAATTACTCACCTTAAAATCATTTCTTAAGATCTCAACATACTGGCATTATCATCGAAAACATAATGTAAAAGGTTTGAATCGAATCGGATAAAGAACAAGAGAGTTATGGCCAAATTACACACGATGGTCCCTCGGACCACCAAAACAGTCTTGTATGGAAAGATTATGAACCTCCATAGGTAAAAACCTGATGAAAAGGTTTTAAAAATGGAGTGACACTCTTAGACTAAATTATTTGATAGGTTTGAAGCAAACTAATTAATGGATATTATGCATAATCATGGATTCTCATGCATATAGATTATAACTCATTAAGGGCTACACTATGAATAAACATGATGAAAAAGATGATCAAATGGGGATTCTAAGATCAATAGAACTTTTCTAAATTCAAAACTCCAGCAACTATAGATGTCAAGGATATGATCTTATGAGAAAATAAAATCCAATGGAGTTTACCTTGATAAATGCACACTATGGACTTAAGCATAAGAAAGGAGGACCACCATCAAGATCACCATTAATGGAGCTCTAAAATCTCTCTCTCTTCAATTTTCTCTCACAAAACCTTAGAAAAAAAAGGGGAGCAACAATTTTTCAAAATGGTTCAAGAGTTGAGATAGTTGGGGTTTGAAATCTCATCATGTGCTTTTATAACATGGGTGTAATTTCGGATTCAATCAATACCCTTGATGCACTAATCCAAAGGCACATGAGAGGCTAATGTACTTAGCCACCCATCCCTATCCAACCACTAGGATGAAAGGATGATATTTCACACCATTATCACTCACCCTAACCCTAAGTTGTGCCACTTTACCATTTTGTCATTGACTCATGTTTTTGTTCCAATTGTATCCAATACGGCCTTACAAAAATCCCTTTAGTTTTTTTTTTAATAATGTATTAGAGTAGATAACCACAAATGCTAAAGGGCAAAAAAGTAATTGGTAAAACTCATACATATGGAGATATTCTTCTTTATCAAAGCCAATCACTTTGTAGACCTAAAATTTCAAACCAATAAATTTAAAGATAATGTCTCATTCACACATGTATGTGAATATATTTTTCAATTCAAATTTGAAAATATATTTTCTCTTTAATATCAAATAAATTAATTAATTAAACTTCACATATGCCATGCATGACCTATGTGTGAGTCAATTAAGATATGTGCTAAAAAGGGGGTCTTAATTTCTAACATTATATAACAAAATATAACAATATATAACAAGACACCATAAGACAACCCCTTATAAAACAAGCAACCAAATGCCAATCTAGTCCTCCGCTTAGGGATCAGTGCCAAGCAGGGCGGTGATCCTAGAGTGAGGTGTGGGGTGCCATGTGGCAGCCCTATGGCAATTTGAACGCCACATGGTAATACCAAGTTAGGACTAAAGTGGAATTTGAGTCAAACAATATGAAAACCCTCATTCTTTTAGCAAATAAAATTCTAAAAAATTTTCTAAAATTTACCATAAATATTTAAAGTATTTTTTTAACAATTATTAGGTTTTCTCATCATTATAAAATCAGACAAAAGTTATAATGAGATCTCAGTCTAATAACTATAAGAATCAGAGTACTCCATTGGGCTAGTCCCGAATGATGTTCCGTCGAGTCTTAGATCGACTCAATAGACCTATGTTCCGCAATATAAAGCAGGAACACATAATTGGTTTATCAAAGCCGCTGAGCCAGAACTTCCAATGATTCGGCTCTCAATGGATTACAGGTGTACCCCCTGTAGGACATGATTCAACTCAATTATATAAGTCCTCTCAAAGCACATGCGCACTGGCTCTTCCAAACTCGGATAATGCATTTGGAAGAGTGACTTCCCGTACGAAATGAAAATGCACATGTCATGCAATGGTCTTGTGCCAAGATACGGACTTATAACCCTTAAGTCTTGACCATTCCATATCGGGCGAATACTCAATAAATACTAAGGTTTTATTTTTCTCATTTGGATTCTCCAAGTTCTGACCGATTGCAGCTAAACATGAAGCTAACTTATAAAATCCTGACTAGGAGGTGACCCTCACACCTCATTGAGAAATTGCTTTCTCAATACATGAACTCTCAATGTCTAAAGCATACTAGGGGTAAAAGAATCTGGGCTCCATTTCGCAAGACACCAAGATTTTAATATCTCAATCGCTCCTACTGAACGAGATACTACTGAAATTTATGCCTTGATAGGCCATATTTCCAACATTTACCTCTACACCTACGGATGCATCCATATGCCAACTGCACCATCTATATATTCAATTAAGCCCACGGGAGTGTCTATGCTTCCTTCCGGTGTTTAAAAATCCAAATTTTTTTTATTGGATGAACTTTGAATTTTTCAAAAGATATTTAAAAAAAAAAGAAGGGAAAATATAGAATGCGACCACTTACTTTTTATACAAGGTGGTCACATTAATCTTGACCATTGGATGTGAAATTGGGTGGCTGCAATTATTTTATTGACCAAACTCAAATTTCAAAAGAAATTTTTTCGAACTTTGTGACATCCAAACTATCAAATTTCACATCAAATGGTTGTAAGGAATTGTGATCACCTTGTATCAAAGGTATGGTCTCATTGTATACCATCCCTTTTCTTAATGTATATAAATTCATAATTTATTTTTTTATAAAAACTTTTCAAAAAAACTTCTTCCCTAATAGCTTTATTTCTTCATTAACTTGACATTATTGAATTTTCATTTAAAGATACATTAACAATAGGAGTAAATTAAGAATCTTGATTTAACAAAAAATTCCATAAAAAAGTTGACTAGTGAGTTCCTTTAGAAAACGTATTCGAAAAACTACAAGCAATATATTCCTCAACAAAAGTAATTTAAACAATTGTATATTTTAAAATAATAAGCAGAATTAGAAGAAAAGTAACCTAATGAAAAATCTATTTTTTTTCTTTAAACCCATTGTGTCCTTGTAAAGAGCAAGAGAGAGATTCAATAATACTAAAGATTTTAGTCATTAGGAATTCAGTGCGAGATTCAAATTTTCTTAAGCATTTTGTTGTTTTTTTTATGCATAGAATAGTTTGATTTATTCCATTTTTTATTTTTGTAAGTTATTGGTATATACAACATAGCATTTTGGATGGACCATTATATTATATATTTGGGTCTCTGCGTTTTCTTTTGATTAATTGTAATTCTACATTGAGGGTGTTTTTTGTTTTTTTCTTTAAAAAATAATCATATACCTTGATTCATAATTCTTGTTATTTGCAAATTAACTATTGTGTTTA